TAATGGATCAAAGCAGACCCAGTTAATTCTCCTTTATTTATTTTGTTTGATCTGGCCAAAAGAGCACATCGTTGGCCTCCGAGAATACTCTGACCTGTTCAACTGGCTGACCTTTATTTACGGTATCAGCTCTGGGGCTCCACAGTGAGAAGGACACACACTAAAAACGAAGGAACATCTCAGTTCCCCCAGCAGAGCCCGCTTCGTTCACTGTCTGTTTAAAAAAGCTGGAGGCAGAAACGCTGTCATCTTTCACCTTGAAAACACAATACTTAGTCTTTAGAGCTGCGAGCCAGAACAGAACACTGTTGCTTCTCATCTTCAACTAGAAAAACAAATCCACATTCTACACAATCCTTTAAGCACCGATTATTTGCTTTATTTTTATCCCCAACCCTCACTGCTGCCTTTATTATCAACTGCATATTGACTGTCATGGGAGCGAATAAAGAAGGGGTTAATAATATTCATGGATTTATTTATTTTTTGCAAGCAGAAGTATTATTTGGGATGTTGTTTGTTTTGACGGTAAAAAGTGTTTCACTCTCATACATTGGGCAACTGTAATTTCTAATTTGATTCATGTAAAAACACGTTTGAGATGTCATTAAAATGGCACTATTTTCTCCTTCATTGAGGTTGTCTGGGCGGATTCCAGTAACCCAGAAAACATTACGAATTAACTCTGGGGGATAAAAGCACTTCCTTCAAAACTGTAAAGAATGGTTGCGTTTCCTAACTTTAAGCCTGGATAGAGAACAGAGGGTGGTACTGGTAACCTGGTGGATTGTAGCGATCGCCCAGCCGTCCGTCCCAGGCTCCATCGCTGTCCTCGTCAGAGTCTGAGTAGGACTGCACCAGCTGCAGCCCCGTGGCTCCACTGCCATGGACCAGCCTGACCTGGCCCCTGCGTTCACACCAACACATCATTACTCAGCAACTAATACCTCAAAGCAATAGCACAAAATCAAAATAATCTAATCCGCTCTTGTAAAGATGTAAACAACCTTTTTTAAGGCACATGAGCAAAAATAAAGAGATAGAAAGACACAGAGCCAAATGGAAAGACACAAGCCTTTACAGGGCTTAGTTTGGAGTCTTTTTTCAATAAGTAGACCCAATGTGACAGATGGAGCTTAAGGGAGGGTGAACGCTGACTGAAGCACAACGGCTTCAATATCATTTCAAATCATCCAGAACTGTTGCTAGTTTTAAGAATAAACACCAGCTAAAAGCAATATCTAAAAAAAGAATTAAACCAAAAAAAAAGCCACTAACAGTTTTCAAATCAAACCAGAATCTAGAAATGCCACATAAAATAATAAATCATCTGATATGAGCACGAGTGGAGCAGCACTGTTTGGAAGAGTTTTCAAACCTCTCAAATGTGTTTGTGCCAAATTAAAAATGTTCTCATAATATTCACGAGTGTGAGCATTTTCTGTATGTTATGTGCTCACCTTCAACAGTGTAACACATAACACCGGGGTCCAATCAGCCTTGTTTGGATCTAAAGTGTCTATTTTGAAGTACTGTATTGTGACTCCTACTATTATGCATACAGAGCAGGAAATGCCAGCGCTTTAATATACGACAATAGAGAGCACACTGCAGGACTATTAAATTGCACTGCACCACACCACAAAGGTGCCTTTTGGCGCATTCCTGCATCTCAAGTGTTATTCCCACTTACATCAAAGTGTATTTCTGACTTACTCGCCTAGCTGTGCTGCAGCTTGAAGTGAGAACAAAGTCACTTTTTACCCGTCCCAACATTTGAATGACCTTAGCCACTGATTTAGTCAGTTAGTGTTCGAGTGAATTCATCTGTAAAAATCCTCCCACGTTCACCTCCTCAGTAGGTAAGCCAGCACTTCAGCTAAGTCTACGTCCTCTTCTGAAGCCGACTGCCTGTCCCCCTGCTGCCTGTCAGCCGTCCTGCGGCCCCGGCTGCTGCTGCTGCTGCTGCTCTGGTTCGGTTCTGCTGCTTCAGACTGATCTCCTGGGTTGCCACTGGAAGAGCCCCTTCCACCAGACATCCCAGAACTGGACTGAGAGCCCATAGACTGAAAGGGCCTGGCAGACAGAAAGACAGAGAGAGAGAAAGAAAGAGAGAGAGAGACAGAGAGAGAGAGAGAGAGAGAGAGAGAGAAAGAGTTATGACATTTGCTGCTTTTGCTGGGGACGTAAGGTGAGGTAAACACAGCCATTAAACGTGTATAAGGACGTTAGGTAACATTGCTTGCACGGCACAGTGTACAGCAGTCAAACAGCTATCGGTAAAAGTTGTTTGCTCAAGCTTCTGCACTTTGACATCTTCGACAAAAGCTACGTGTTCTGCCAAAGACATTGACCCGCACATTTGTAGTGTACGTCAGTTTATCAATGTTCAGATGCAGGGATAGGTTTTGTCGAGCTAGCTAACGTTGCTAACGACCTGACGATAACTGCTAGCTACCGTTTGACCGTCTTCCTGACAGCTCGTCGGTCCAGCCCGCGGCGGCTTCGGCGCGGGCTTGACAGCCTTCTGGGTCGACAGATATCCGCGCAGTCTCGTCGGACAACGCTGCCGACGCGGTGAACGGGAGCTCTGACACCGCGCAGTTCGCTCAGTCGGCTAGCAGGGCCAGTCCGTGAATCGCCATGTTGTTTACAAAAGTGTGAAAAAACCCCTGCGCGTGCCCCCGCCTCCCCCAGCTCTTTCACCGTCACGTGACCAGCACTGCCTTCCTCAGCTCTGTACGGGAGTGTCCGCGAGGCCGGGGACCAAAGGCAGGGACAGCGGGGACTTGTTACACCTTACCGGAGTCCTTTGCGGAACTAAAACGAAAAAAGACAGAAGTAAAAAAACACAGCAAGTCCCGTTGCAAAGCGTCAGCAGCCAAACTCATATGAAATATGACCATAGGTTCAAAATACAGCGTCAAAAAGGACGAAGGCCGAAGCCACGCCCACTTTAATATTTTGTTTGTTTTAACTTTTTCAGGTATTTTTTGGTGTTCGTTTATATAACACTGAATCTAAAAGCACACACGCAGCTATTCGAAGTGTACATTGGTCAATCCAAAGTGGCTTTATTATTTTACAGGCTTTTAAAGCCGTGGTAGCATAGAAAAAAGCCAAAAAACAGAAGGCATAAATTTGAACCAAACAGTGACGTGAAAAATAAAGCTTTTAAAACATACCAAAAATGTCAAGTAAAACGGATAGATTACATGTTGTAAATATCTTTGAAATAACATCCTTGACAAAGTTTGTGGTGCCCAGCCTGACACATATAATGAAGGAGTTATGGGCTGGATTTGGTGTCAATAGAAGGTGTTTGTTGGCCCATAAAACAACTTGTCAACCAAAAGTTCTCTGACTGGAAATAGATTTTAACAGCCAAGGATTTATTAGGTTATCTTGGCTTTTTTTTGGCCCGTGGTAAAGTCACATATCATTTCAGTATAAGACGTCAAAATAAAAAAAATACTATTTAGTGTTTACTATTTGGAAAGTAGCCTTAGATAAATGTCCATGAAGTCAACTGGATGTTTAGTAGACTCTGTTTCAGATTAAGCTTTTGAATTTTTGGCGGAGTCTGTTTTTAAGTCAAATATTAATAAAAGTCTAAAATTAGTTACAGCACGGACTGGTGGACCATCCAGGGTGTACCCTGCCACTCGCCCATTGACCACTGGGTTAGGCTCCTGTCCCCTCACGACCCCATTAGGGAATAAGCGGTACAGAAAATGGATGGATGGATTGATTGTTACAGCACAGATCATAGAGAAATGTAGGGAGATCCAATAGCTCCTATTGTGGCATGGTAAACATTCCTCTAAAACAAGGCCTGTTATCTTCATTACCTCATTATTCAATTGAGTATTAGTACGGATATGTGTTTTTTGTGCATTTACCTACTTTGAATAACTCATGCTTACCTGTTTTACACTACAACTTTACATACATTTTACATGCAGTCTTCTTTACCCTGCACTTGCACAGCCTTGTAGGTGTATTTTCAAAAGATCAACCTGTAAAAGCCATGAAATACAATTCTCGTTGAACTAAAAGGTTGTAAGTGTGGGAATCATAAAAATGTTAAAATGTACGTAACTTTGGGCACTCAGCAGACACAACAAACCGCGGCTCAATAAAGAGCTATGAGTGTGTGCCTGATGACGGCTCAGCCTGTAAGAACTAAACAGCATTGTGGTTGTAAGTTAGAAGCATTTGTCATGCTCGTCTTTGAGCTCCTGCTCTATTCTTGTGGGTGCTTTGCACGTGTCAAGACGAAAATACTCCCAGTACTTAGTTGCTCGATGGAGTAAACACAAAGCCATTTTTGCAGAGGGGGCATTTTGGCAAACAGGGCAACTCTTCAATAACCACAAACCCCCAGCTCAGAGCCTGTTGCCATTTTTGTTGTCTCTCCAGTTTACTGTACCTGAAGACTTGTTACTTTTGTTAATCAATGCACAGGGGACTGTCATTAAACAGACACCGTGGACTTTGCCTTGTCTGATTGCATCATTGTGAGAAACTTCCTCCTTTAGATGAGCCACTTTGTTTAGCCAAAGATCGCAACCGCTTCATCTTAAATTGGGCTGTAGCTCATCTTTTTTTCTCCCTTTTGTTGCCTTGGCACGGTTTGTTCTGTTATATTTTGTTCCCCTCCTTGGTCTGCGGCTATCGCTGTAGTTTCTGTTCTCCTTTTAATTGTTATGTATCATATAAAAGAATGTCTTTTTTTTTTTTTTTTTTAAGCAACAAGTTGTCGTGGAGAGCTTTCCAATTAGATACAATGTAAAGTTCCTGTTGTGTTGGAAGCTGGTGGAGGCATCTGTATAATTTTACAGCAGCACAGACTAGTGTCATTTATGCTTAATGAATTATATAACTTTTAAATACTTAGAACAAAAAAAAAAAATTCAGCTTTCTCTGAATACGTCTGCTTACACATGTTCATATCGTTTGTTCACTTTGTGGTTTAAGAAATATCTCAATTACAATAACCCTGGCTTAGAAATTAATTGAACGTCTTAGGCATTAGGGCTGTAGGTTTACTGAATGTATACAGTGAATAAACTACATTAAGTAATGCAGCAATACATATGACAAGTAACATTGTTTTCGGTACACTATGATCAAAGCACAACAAGAAAATAGATGAGTAGAATAGAAATTAGTTTAGGTGGTTGAAAAGCCCCAGCAAACGAGCTCCATTATGTCGTGGCCCTCAATGTTGCAATATACTGGCTTTCATAGCTGCAAAGTGCCCAGATATTTCCATAAAATCAGATTGAATATTCCACTCACACTTCAGCAAAAATCTTCATTTGTGTGTGAAACAGGATGCCATTATTATCGTGTCATTTGTCTAATTTCCAATAGTGTTGAGAACTTTTACCACATGTTTTCAATGTCAGTGAGCAGCTGTTTTTTTAAGTGGTCTATCTTGCAGCAGGACATGAGTGTATGTGTGCTGAATCCAGACAACCTGTAATACCTTGCTGAGGAAGGGAGTCCTCAAAAATTTCAAGTGGCAGCATGATAGCAGCAGTGTAGCACCAAGCATGTCAGATTTATTCAGACCAATTGTTCTTTTGTACAGATTAAAGGCTTTTTAAAGACCCAGCACGCTTGGAGAATTTTTACCATACGCTGCTAAATTTCATTAAAATCTATTCGACCTGGCTAATATACAATAGTTCAGTTTTGTATATCATTCTAAAAACGTTTAAACGGTTAGCATTACCGATCAAGTATAGCAGCTCTTACAAAACATGAGCACTAAGTAGCTTGGCATAGTGCTCCGGCTGATATCTTTTAAGGTAAACATTCATTTTTCCCTCAACCCGCTCATGTTCGCTGAGTCCTGAGAGAAAAAAGAAGAGGAAAAAAAAAAAGATTAGTGCTTCATGCCACAGATAAGCAAAATGATACTGGTGTGCATAATGTGTGGTTTGAAGGCTTTGAGCTCACCCAGCTTGTGAGCTGCATTTCTAATCTTCTCCTGTGCAGACTGTACATCTCCTCCCTCTGGAATGAGGACTTCTATCTCTCCCACATGATATCCAAAGTCAGCTTGGTCCAGATCTATTTGGACCCCCTCGTCCCCCAAAGTGAATGACCGCCGCACTGTCACATACTCTGCAAAGCAAACCAGATTCATTCTACAAAGCCAGGACTCATCTCCCAGCGAGGGGGCCGTCTCTGACTCTCTGTCCTCACAAGTCTTCTTGAAAACCTCCTCCACTCTCTGTTGAATTTCAGGCAGATTGGTTATCTCCTTGTAATGAGTACACAGCGCTGCAGCCAGAGATTGTTCTGCACTCCGGTCCTCCGTCCCATTGACTGTTGCTGTAGGGCACTTGAGCTCCCAGCAACCTTTTCGTTTACGCAGCCACATGTCTCTCAAAGTCAGCTCAAACTCGGGGGTGTCAAAATACTGGTCATGAAACTGCTGCTGTCCCATACAAACTGCAGAGGAAATCGCATAAGGGAGGAATAAATAAATCAAACGCATAACAAGGCTGCAACAGGTCATAAATCTTCATTATTAACAAGGAACAGATGGCGGGTATCACAGTAGTTGCACAGCAATTAGCGTCATTAAATGTTAGAAAAGCCTGTCAGTAACTGTGTCTTCGTTCTTGCCGATCACAGATGAACACATTAACAAATCACAAGTTGTATACAAACTGAATATGTACCTGCGATCTCCTCCAGTATTTTCAGGGTGCCATCACTGCATAAAAACTTTCTTTCCACTTCCACGCTCATCTGAAATCACAGAGAAAAACGAACACTGACAAAATGCCATGAACGTAGTGTGGATAAACTGGGTATGAAGTAATGGTTTAATTGTAGATTGTTATGTTTTAAAGTTAAAGTTACACTGTACAAACCATATCCAAATACCACAACATGTGCCTCCTCTTAATCTAAACTGGACCTTAAAACACATGACACAAACATATGAGGTGAAAATTGCGAGCCACCTATGTTATTTTAGGTGTGAATTAAAGCTATACTAGTTGTATCAGTTCTTCACTTTTTAATTTTTTCAAAAATTGTGTTATTAGCAATAATTTATGCTATATCACTGTAAATAGGGATTGACATAAACAATCACTTCGACGGATTGACTGTAGGTCGAGGTTCAGATAATATTCGGTTTGGCAACCCATAAAATAAGTATTTTTTAAAGCTCTTTATGAGAGTTAAAAATGTCTTTATGCGGATAAAAATGAACTGCGGTGATTGCTTGGGGCAGTTTTGTTTCGGCAGTGAGGGATAAACATTCGCACCTGTCTCAAATAGAGCTCGAGCTTTCTGAGAGGTGTGCTCAGAACTGCCATTCAGAATCACAAAACTCTGCCATGGAGGCTTTAAAACTCACCCCTGGGGGTAGCACTTTGCGTCGTCACATACCTTAACCGGTAACGTCCTCCTATCTAAGTTATTCGGCGTCCAAAACAGAGCGACAGATCCTCTCGAGTAGCCTCCATACGTCAGCGAAGGTAATTTTCCACAGGCGCATTGAGGGCCACCTATCAGGGTATTCGTGACCATCACTTCCTGTCCCAGCAACGCAGGGGTATACAGATGGTGCAGTTTTAATCCCCGCCGCTTCATAAATATTTATTCCACATACTCGTTGACTGTTGATTTGCGCCACACCTATCATCTGATTGAAAACATGTCATAATTCGTTTGGAAGGCGCGGGGCAAAGCCTTTGTGGTCTTATCTCCATTATTCAGCTTTAATTAACTCGTCTCAGTCTTTGTGGAAATTCAACTTGGCAGAATGAGGACTCATTTATTATTCACCTTTCATTTAAAAATGAGGAAAGGTTTAATAGTAAACGAGGTTTGGTGTGCTCTTTAATGGGTTTTTTGATTTCCAGAAATTCATCCACCAGAAATATTTTCGAAGGATAATTGAACCTAATTGTGTTGCTCAATAAGAACTGGGTGTTTCCACATATATTAATAATCTGTAACGTCTGCGAGGTTACATAAGGGATTTGATAGCCGTGTGTACGTCCCCTCTGAATGTCAGCAATCAGCCTTGGGGGGAGCTGTGGTCTGTTTACTAGAGGGAAGAGGGGAAGGAGAGAGGGCGAATGAAGGGAGGGGGAGAACAGGAGAGGAGAGAGGAGAGAGAGAGGGAGGGCAGGCAGGCAAGAAAACTTTTCACTTGTGAGGAGCCACAGAGGAAGCGTGTGTGTGCGTGCGTGCTGGAGCGGCGACCATGCAGGTAAAAATGCATTAGCTAATTGCTTTGAACTTAATTAAACGTCATTCGTGATCTGTTAATTGCGCCGATCTGAGCGCGGAGAGTGGTTCGCGACTCACAGAGGATCGAGCAAACGACGGATCGTGCTCCATACTAATCCGATCCATAATAGAAATCCAACATTAAATCCCAAACTTTTTCTGCCTCTCGTCTCTGTTTCGCCTGCTCTCCCTACACCACCCCCATCGTCGAGGCGAACGCGGCGCACGTACTCTGCTTCAAGTAGCTTTGTCGCGTTTAATTCCTTCGCCAATTACGATTCGAAGCTGTTAAAATGAGTGTTTAAATGGCCATGTGTTGCACCGAGAGTGTTTAAGGTATGGATTCGAGCGCAAGGACGCGTCAAAAGGGGGTCTGCTGGGCGGCGAGGGAGGAGGGGGTGCGACTGTTCCTAACACATCTGTAAGCGGAGCCCACGTTCATTAATTAAATGGCTTTAGTCCGGCTAGGCCTCAATTTGCGCTGTTGAGCAGCAGGCGGCGGGCGGTGCAACACTAGATGCCCGATTGGCAACCCACAATAAGAGGGGTAAGGAAATAACTCGAGGCCGAGGTTTTTTATCCAGAGCTTAGTGAGTGTATTTTGTATCCTGGGTGAACTCGTACGATATATTGAAGCTGCGGCTCGCTCCCACCTGGGCCAGGCAGAGTTTGTAGCGAGTGGAGAGCAGCCAGTTGGAGACAGTTTGAGGAGCGGTTAATTATCTCTCCCTGCTAACAGGCTAGCTAGCAAAGTGACACGACTGTTAACTGCTCCAGCCCTTTTGTTTATTAATTTAATGATGGCCCTGCCCTAACTGCGAGCCAACGGGAGATTATGCTGACGCCTGTCCCGTCTTTTTGCAGTTTTAGAGAAGTGTGCCCGTCATTGCAGGGTTATTTTGTGTAAACTAACGCGCTAACCAGTATTTCCAAACACCTCTGTAATGCGACGTTACGGGGGTGGGGGGGGGGGGGGGGCTTCACAACCTAGCTTGCTAGCTAATTGATTTGTCTCTGGTCGGCATAGCTAATTAGGCTGCTCATTAATTAGCCAACCAAGGACAAGAAGACGCCAATCCGGCTTTATCGCGGCTTTTAATTAGGGCACTTGTGACAAGTAGCTGTTAGATATGATATACTATGCAGACGGAGACTCGTTTAAATAATATGTGGTCATATAACCCTGCTAGCTTGCTAATTGGCATGACGAGGAAGTGAGGATTGTAGCTGTGTTGGCATTTCTCCTCGTGGGAATGGATTGTTTTCTTTGCTGCATCTTGGACTATAAATGCTGCGATACAATTGCGATGTGGTAAAAGTCAAACTAATTGTGGTGTGTTTCATTTCCTTTAAAAAACAACAACTATATGTTTCTGATAAATGCATGTTATCAAGCTAATGCAGTGTTCGCGAAACCCATCGGTCGTGTTGATTAGTCAAAAGTGGTGGAAATGTTCTAGTAAACAGTCGAGCTGCCTTTATGGTTTGCAGTGGTGCTCAGTACGTTCTGCTTTTAGTGCGATGTTGTGAGCATGAGGTATTGGCTGTTTGTTGAATATAAGGCAGGATTCAAAGAGGCATGAAATGTTTTCAGCGTTTTAAGTGGGAACCAAGTTGGGGGTTTCTAACATGTAAAACCTGCTGCTAGCATCACACAGATCCCTTTTCCATTACAATGGTGCCATCTGAAGAGTTGCATTATTGTGTAATTTGATCTGGTCATGGCAGGCAAAAAAACAATGGGAACCTCTTTAACAAGCTGGGTTGAGGAACTCTGAAGTGAAACGCTAATATCCGAAAGAATACAGTGCTGAATTAATATTAGTGTTAAAGTTTACACAGTAATAAAAAAACAAACACAATTTATTGGGATAAATTTGTTAAAATGATTACATTTGCTGAGATGTTAAAAGTTCACGATTGTTCAACCAGTGCTATTTCCAGTCATGATTTTTGGTCTCGTCTTTGAGATAAACATTATCGTTGGTGTGCCCATGTTTTTTTTACATCGCGACTTTTCTGTCAAATAGAACTTAATGTAAGTGTCAGTTAAAAAGCTAAAATCTTGGTGTTCATTTTAATTTTTCAGGAGGAGTCTGGAGAGCCGGTGTGTAGTGAAAGGAATGGGGTGGCGAAGTGGCTGTGCCCTCTGTGCCAAAAAGGGCAATCAAACAGATCTTCCTTGTCTTCACATCTCACTGAGCAACATAGTGTACTTCCATCCTGTGTCGACAGACTGCTAGACATTGTAAGTGTGGTGTGGCTGTATGGCTAAAATCATGTCATATGACTGTCATAAATTATGCCCCCCCACCCCCCTCAATTTGTTATGCAACCCGATTATGGTTGTAACGTTTAATTAGCCTTCTTGTTTCGGATTGATCCTCAAAAAGACAAATTTGATTAATTTCTTTAAATGCATAATTTTATGAATATGTTGGCTCAACTGATTGTAGTTTTGAGGCAGCAGAAGTATAAAAGCTCAAGCAATTGGAGATAAAGTTTAAGTGACAGGAGACAGTGACTAGCTTCAGAATCAGGACGAATGTCAGAAATCGCCATGTAGAGGTCTCTGCTGAAGGAATATGAGGAGTTTAGTAAGTAAAACTTAATTGGTAAATTAGACTTAGAATTTTGTATGTGTTACATGGTTGTTTCTTTGTTCATAATTATGCAATCAGACAAGGCAAAGTCCATAGTGGTGTCTGTTTAATTCCATTTTTTTTTAAAAAGAAAGAAGGAAACTAAGGACAAGTCTTGTGAAACATTAATTACCTCATAGACAAGAGTGCTGCTAATTTTGCCCCATGAGGGCAGGATTCAGTTTTCTGCTGTGTGTGAGCTGTGCATCAAGTGAGTGAGAAGTAACAGGCTGGGCTCGCTCTCGCAGCTGTAGTTCCACGAGCATGACAGAGAAGAGGAGGTAGAGCAGCAGAAGCATTGTGCAACATAGAACCTTTGAGGAATCATTTTTTTAAATTAAAATGCAGCTTAAATGAGGGCATAGATGTTTTCTTAAACCTACCAAACAGTGGTTCTGTCACACAATGCTGTTAGAGCGAAGTCTTTCAGGGCAAATGTGAAGTGTTTTAATGGGCCACTGTTCAGTCTCTGTTTCATCCTCGTACACCAGAAAGAGAAATTGATATGAATGAGAGCAGTTGTACCAGAAATTTAGCTCTTTTAAGATGCTTTTTATGAGCAAATAGGGTATGACAACAATGCAAATGCAATGTGATAGTATCTTGAATATGCCTATTGGCGAGTCATATCCTCTAGCTACTTTTACTGCGAATTTAAGTTGCATTCCATTGGAAACAGTTGTAAATACTGTCCTGATACTGTGTTGTGCTACAGCTGGTTTACTAAATATTCTAATGGCTGGCAAACGGATTAACAAAAATTGTACAACTGCCTTTTCACTTTTCCATTTTTTTTAAATGGTATGGCTCCATAATTAGTTTTTGTGTTCTTTTTATATGTGTATACAAAGTGGCTTTTTTATTTATTCATGTATTGGTTCAGAAGCACTACCATTTGACAGAAAAGCCTCAGCTTCTTTTCTCATCCGAGTGTTTCTAGTCAGTCGAACAAGGCCCACTGATTGGATACATTTCTGTTCAGCTGAGACTTCTTACTCAAAGTCAAAATAACTGTTTTAACAACCACTTGCAAGGGACTAGCAATTTTAAACAGAACTTTAGAATAACCCTTAAGTGAAGAATTCAGTGAGCAGCTTTTGAAGAAAATGGTGGATATACAGTGTAAAGAGGTGGAGGGAATTTATCTATGGAGGAATTGATCAAAGACGGTTCAGTTCATGCCTTCTGGGTAATTTGCAAATTAAAGACTATGCTTGCTGTGTGTAATATAGCCACGCATTATTGAGTCACACCCAGATGCACTACATAATGGCACTCTTCTCATGTGAGAGGAACAGCAAGTTTGCATTGGGAATTTGGCTGACATTTATTTTTTCATTTTTCCCTGTTTTGCAGGCTGTTCTAAAACAGGCTGCTAGTGGAGGAGAGAAGGACAAAGGTGCTCAACAGACTACAGGTGAGGGCAATAAATACGTAAAGTGGCACTCTTTAAAAGAATATTACAAAATACGCAGCCATATATGAATGCAAAAATGATTCCAATGAACAAGGTCTTGGGTGGATTTGTTAAAAAATAGCACCTGACCTTTACTGGCTAACCTCCCAAATAAATGAGTTGGTACATGGTTTACAAATGTGTATTCATATTCTCAGATGCTGAATCCTCTCAAGTGAAAAACGCCGCAGACGCCAGTTCAGACCCCTGCCAATCTAGTGAGAGCTCAGACACTACCCAGATGCTTCGCAACAAAGAGATGGAGGAAGACAGAATAATGGAACAGGAGGAAGGTGAAGCAGAGCCGGAAGAGGAGGGAAATTCACTTTCTGAAGCCAAACGGCAAAGTACAACTGAAGACACAGAAGTCCCAGACGCAAATCAAAAGTCCGCTGGTAAAAATGGCGTGCCAGCTGAAAATAACACCCGGTCATTCAAATGCAATGCCTGCCTGGAAAGTTTTTCCAGTAGAACTGCCTTGAGTGTTCATTACAACTCTGCATCCCACATTCAGAGAATGACCACAGGCCCCGCAAAACAAGGTGCAGAAACTAATTCCCCGTCTCCCTCGCTTCAAGCTCTGTCTCGGCCATATATATCAAACAAACCCTACCAGTGTGCTGTATGTCGAGTCTCTTACAATCACGCCATCACCCTCGAGAGCCATATGAAATCTGTTTTGCACCAGACCCGCAGCAGAAACGCTGGTATGGCAGCACATGCTGCAAACAGTGCAGTTGCTGCTGCCAGTTTGAGAGGTAGCACCAGCAGCGCTCCAAACACTGTAGGGACCACATCTGGAAGTGGAACTAGTCAGTTGGTTGCTTCCAGTACCTGTGCTGCTCCTGGGGCACTAATGGTGAGTGCTCCACAAGAAGAACAGATTCCAACCTCCCAAGTGACTCCCTCCCTCCTCACCTCTCCTGTGGCCTCAGCTCAGGCGGTTTCAGCCTTTCTAACCCTCCTCACATCAAGTCCCAGCACCCTCTCACACTCCCTCCTCCCCTCTCTATTTGCAGCTGGTGCTGCTTCTGGCGCCGCTGCACCTCAGCTCGTGCCTCAGCCTCAAATGGTCATGCCCTTGATCTTGAATGGGCTCCAAGCTCAAACTCAGCAGCACCAAGAGAACCAGCAAGGCCAGCTCCTTACACAGTGTGTGCCATTCGTCGGCCTCAGCACAGCCCAGCAAGCCCTTCTAACCCAAAGACTCAACAGCTTACAGAACCAGTGGCCCTCTTCAGGACTTCCACCAAACATTCAGCCCCCTCAGGAAGAGCAAAAGCAAACTGTAACGTGTGAAGGAGAACAAGAGGAAAAGGGTGAGACGGTGGGGACAGACTCTGATCAGACAAATGAGGCACAAGATTTGACTTCAGATAACGTAAAAGGAGAGAAACTTAAGGGAGAAAGCAGTGAAGAATCTGCACAATGTGCAAATATAGAAAGAAAAGAGGTTAAAAGTAACAAGGTTGATGGAAAGGAACATCAAGATAGCACAACAGATGGAGATGGCTCTACAAATCAGTTGGACCTGGAAGGTGACAAAACAGCTAGTCTGAATCTCTCCCCAGTGGGCACAGAGAAGAGCCTCCGCAATAATAACCATTCGCCTTCTGCATCAGTGCGCAGCAACTCCAGCCTCAGTCCTGTAAATTTAAATCTTACCCTTAGCCCTGATTCTACCCCTCAGAAATCGCAATCGGGCACAAGCCCTTGTGGCACCCCAAAATCTAGCCCCAGTACAAATGCCTTAACTACTAACCAAACCCGTCTCAATTGTACCACAATGGATTCCAGTTTTCCAGACCTTCCAGTTCTATCGGAGTTTCAGTCGGAGGTCCTCTGGGCATTTTTTGAGTCTCGTAGTGAGGCGGATGCTGCGAGTCCTCCCCACGAGGACTGCGAAGCACTGGGTAGAGAAGTAGGTCTTTCAGAAGAAGCGGTGCGTAGGTGGCTGACCCAGGCTAGGCATGCAAAACACAGACACAGAGCAACAGATTCGGAACAGCTGGCTGGATTTACAAGGCATAACCATGGTTCTGACAATGATTATGATGATGAGGAAAGTTCACTGATCATAGCAGAAGGTGAAGATGATGGTGAGGCTTCAAATAGTCAGGCCATAGATTTGTCTAATTCAAGAGGGAAACGTGTGCAGAGAGAGGTTGGAAGGGAGGTTCAGGGAGACTCCTGCCTCACTTCTGACTCAGAAAATGAAGTGTACACTTCTGTTATCGTCTCTGATGAGGAAAGTCAGACTGAATTCGTCAAGGAGGGTCCTAAAAGTCCTAAAGATGAATGGCACAGAGGCAGCCATAGCGATAAAGGGCCTGTTGGAGGAAAAGTATTGCGGTCCACAACTGTGTTTCTCTCTGATGCTGAAGATGAGTACGAAGACGAAGAGGTTGGAGGGGGTCAGAGGGCCATGAGGAAAAAACGAAAAGGAGAATTTGAGCGTGATGAGGTGGTGGTGAAGAAAGAGAGGCAGGACCCAGATGTGGATCTGGAGTTGGAGGCCCAGGGGGATCCTCCAAGTTCATTGTCCTTTGCTATGGACCACCATGAGATTCCTGCCAGTGCTCTCCATTCCCTTCCCTTGTCTCTTACTCCCTTTTCTACACAATTTCTCAGTCCATATGTTCTGTCTCTCACCCCTTCATTAATTGCAGATGGCAGCAAAGTACCTGTTTTTCCCAACCCTCCAACCATCACACGCTTTCCGAGCTCCCTCCTCTCCCAGTCGCTCTCCTCCCACAACCAAACTACTCACTACCTGTCGAATGGTGACGACTGTGAGTCGGCTCTTGATCTCAGCATGGGAAAAAACAACTCCAAGTATGCTTCCTCATCCTCTTCTCTTGCTGACAGCATTGCAGCACAGAAGGGGCAGTTGCTGGATGGGCTTGGCCTTCGACCCACATCCAAAGGGTTGGTGGTCGTGCAGGTTAAACCTGAGTCTGTGACCACTGTACCTGGTTCCAACAGCCCCATGAGTCTGATCAACTGCAGTAATATGACAAAGTCTAATGTTTACATGAGAGCGGGACAGAAAATGAGTGCCACATTTCTAGAAAGAGAGAGAGAAAAAGAGAGAGAGAAGGAAAAAGAGAAAGAGCAGCAACAAAGGAAGTCGAAAGGAAAAAGGTATCGAGACATGCGACGCTCAAGGACCATCATTCAAGCTGAGCAGCTCGACATTTTGTACGGCTGCTATTTCAAAGACCCAAATCCCGGGAAGCATGAGTTTGAACAGATTTCAGAGTGGGTCCACCTTCCAAAGAAAGTTGTTCAGATTTGGTTCCAGAACATGAGGGCAAGGGAAAGAAAAGGTGAGGTACGTTTTATTAGCGATGGAACTTTGGCAGCAGTTGGCAAACCTCTCATCAAATTTACTTGGCCTCTGTCCAAACCCATATTCTCCAACAAGCCTACTTCGAACAACAATACTGGGGGCATCACAGCAACTCCAATTGTACGCACCTTCATCAAGACAGAAAGAGATCCTGTGAAGGAGCTGGACAAGACGGTTATGATGAAAAAAACTGGCCCAGTTCCTATTAAGCCCAAGGAAATAGTTTCCTCTACAACAGTGTCTTCTGTGAGCAGCAGTGCGTCTGCAGTGCCAAAGACCAAGCTTGAAACCACCAGCAATGTCACTATGGTCAAAGTTGCTCCCAAAGTCAGTCCCCCTGTCATTTTGGCACCACCCAAGGAACTAATTCCGATCGCCCCACGGCCATCCCAGAAACGAAAGCTAGAAGAGGAGAGCGAAGAAGAAAAGACAGATGAGGAGAAAGACTATGAAAATGAGATGGCATCTGGGCCAGCGGTGGCCAACCGCATGGTGCCGAAGCTGCCCACAACTCCCATAAACAACAGGCCCTCAGCCACAGCGGTGGTCTCACAAAAACAGAATGGGCTGAACTATTGGACCCCTAAAGTCCCCATTAAGATCAACACTCTGTCAAGAGAACAACTGGCACTTCCGACACATACGCCCCCTCGTACCATCCCCCCTCCTCCCACTCCCAGCATTGCACCGGTCAGCCCAAACACCCCGAGTTCTACCAAAGTGGGCAGCCCCTCCACGGCACTTGTTGCTAAATCTAGCCCAACAGAAAGCGGCTTCCTGTCGCACTCGTCCAGCCGCAGGCCGCGCACTCATTTGTCCTGCCTCCAGCTGTCCATCCTGCAATCTTGTTATGAGACCTGCGCTCACCCGAATGCCATGGAGTGTGAAGCAATTGGCACAGAGCTCAACCTGCCACTCAAGGTGGTGCAGATCTGGTTCCAGAATACAAGAGCCAAGGAGAAGCGCTGGAGGCTGCAGCAGGAGAAAATCGTAAGTCGCCAAGTACACAGATCTGACCAGTAATGTTCTTCTTAGTCGTGTTCTTGTATAACTAAGATTTTTCTTTCTGTAGTATGTGATACATTTTTTCCATCAAATCAAGCAACATTTTTCTTCTCTGTCCAAACAAATGATCCAAATGCCTGAAAACTGTCCTGTTCTGTGTAAAATTTTAATGGAAAGATCCAAATTGAACAAGTCCTTTCTCTCCCTCTGGTTTTGAATCCCAGTCTCCTGTGTTGGGTGGCAAAGTGGACATGAGCTCAGGAAGCTACCTGCAGTACAACGCTCTCAAAGCAAATCGACCCATCTTGCCCAAGCCCGTTCAGTTAACGGTCACAGAAGCTCCAGCCTCTCCAGTGCCGGGCCAGCCGGTACCAAAGGAGACCCTGACGGGCCACTGCGAGGCCTGCAACGTCTCCTTCGAATCGCGGGCTGCTGCAAGAGCCCACGTTTTCTCCCCACGCCACCTGGCTACGCTGAGAACCACTAACTTTGGCCAGCCGCCAGCGCTTGTCAACAAGAACGGAAGCAGTAACAGCGGACTGCCAAGCTCACAGGTGTCTCTGTCCACTACTGTAACCAGCTCTGGAGCTGGTTCCGAAGGGGAGATAACTATTGAGTTGCCTCCCTCCACGGCCACCAGCAACAGTTAAAGACTCAGATCAATAATGGTCTGCACACTGACAATTTTTGGACCCATTTGGGCTCCTTGGATTTTAATAAACAAATTTGAGCACTAATTCTCTAAAACTAATATTCTTTCAATATGTTGGCTCCCCCCACCCCCCCCATCTTTTGCTCACCCTTCATTTGACTCGATACCTGGTAATCTAGACGGTTCACTTGGAATCAAATACTCGAGCAGACTCTTTCCATGCTGCTTGACACTTTTTCAATCGCCTGACGAGTGATAAAATCCTCTCAAGTCTCCCTCAACCCTCACACTTTTCCCAGCAGTTTTGGTCTGAACCCTGTGGTTATGTATTACTTTTCTTCCTATAATTTTGTAAAGGCACTCAACCCGCCATGCTTGAGCTGTTCTACCCTAAAGACTGATGCAAGCGTTTCCTTTTTGGCAGTGGCCACTGTGGGCCCGGAAACACTTTTTGGGATAGCACGAATTACTCACACTTAATAACTCCCCGTTTGCTCCTGTGGAATTGTTTTCTCATGCCTACTTTCATTTCTTGGGCAAAAGATTGCTTGGATCTGACTGGACTGAACCATTGGGAGAGCTGGTATTAGCTGTCATATTTTTTATTTTCTACAGGAGTGTGATCTGAAGAGTGTTGGGGTTTTCTCATTTGGGATATAAAAGAGGTACTTTAGAGCGGGATAGGGCTGTTAAAATGTCCCCTTACCCATGTTCATAGTTTCATGACAATCCAAATAGACTGCGCTAAAAGTTTAGAAAGAGTTGAATCGTTGGCATACCGCACTTTGACATATTTTCCATTCTTTGAGATGTTTTTAAGCATTCTGATGCAGGTGTCTTTTATGGAAAGATACACTGATGCATGTTGGATGCCTTAATATAAATCACATTAAATAAATCTTTTTTTTTTTTTTTTTTTTTTTTTTTTTTTTAATCAATTGTAATCTGTGTGAGTTGTTGCATAATGTTGTGCAAAAAAATTAGTCCTTGGTTTCAAAATGTAGAAGAGCTTTGTTCCAAAATGCTTTGGCATCCATTTTGGGGAGAACATCTGAATGTCTATTCCCAAAACTTAGCAAATCCTGCCTGTAAAGTCATCAGTGTTCTCTCTGCCAAGGACTAGAGTTACTACTGTGTTCACTTTTGGTTAAAATTTCTATAATTCAGTACGTTTCACATCCACCCTAATATGTGCATCTCATTTTGGAATATAGCTCTTCAGATTTTTGGGGAAATATTAATGTTTTACACCTCCTGCAGGTGTGTTGGAAATATGACAGCCTTAACGGGAAACACCACCATGTTCATTAAGTTAAGCCCGACTGGTCGTCCTACAATATTTTTGAATGAATCAAACCCCCTTTTAGCACCGAGGGTCAGTTGATATCTTAAATATATGCTGTTCTTTGAATACTGTGCATAAGACTTGCAAGATTAGTACTTCTTTTATTTACCTGAGGTTTTATATAAATGACAATTGAAGCAATTACAACGGGCATACTTTTTTTTTCTTTTTTTTTCCGTTAGGTCAAAAGCCAATTTTGATGGATTAAGAGCAGGGCTTGAAATTGGTTGTTTCCTGTAATTGTTTTCCCCCTTTTTACATTTTTTAAAAATCAGTTTTAAAGCAGAGTTAGTGATCCTGGTCACGTATGTGCTGTGAAATTAGATGTTTTATCTTGAAACCATGACAAGGGAGACAGATGGGTATTACTAATATCCTTAAGGGACTAAATGGATACTCACACTTAGGAAGCAAATTAGGAAACATGAAATGTTTTGACTGAGAGCTAATAAGATGGTGCTGTGTTGAAGGACACTTAACAAACTAAAGATGTTTTCCTTCAAATTAAGTTGTATATTAATGTTACTATTGATAGTTTTAACAAAATGCAAAACTAAAACATGAACTTTTGTAAAGAAATATATTAAAAAAACTGATATTCCAAAGTTATCCTCCCTTTGCTTTCTGTCATTCAAAAAACCAAAAAGCAATCTTTAGGTCGACAGAGAGCAGGAGAGGTGTTAATGCAAACTGTAAAGGACATCCCACGGCTTGACACTTGCACTAGTCCACAATTTTTGCACAAGCTACAGACGTTTCAAATGAACACAGCCATTACCATAATGTTAAGTCACTTGATGTGGTTTTGACACAAAGAGGGTAACGATGTCCTTGGACAAGTAATAATTTGTAGAAACTGTATCTTGTGTGTAAAGAAAGGACTGGAGTGCTCGTACCTCAAGACTGGGATTACACACACCTACACACACACACAGACACGGTGTTGCACTGTCCAAACTAGATGCGTTTTTATGGAGATCTGCTTTTTATTATATTATGTTTCATTGTCACTTTGATTATCACTATTGTTATAACTGTACTACTACTTATACAATTTATTACTACTCATCACTGTTTTTTGATTATTGTTGATCCATTATTGGTTTTAATGCCACCTCTGCTCAAGAAAAGAGTATGGTATTCCTATGAATATTGAACAATAATAGTGGCAGTGTTGTTCTGAATTGTTAGGTTTTTGATTAAGCTTATTTTTCCTCCTTACTTGTACCTGCCTTTTTGTGTTTGGTCTCCATTATGCTTTCTTTGATATACTGAAAAAGAAATAAAACCGGTTGAACAACAAAACAAGTGGAATCTGTAAGATATCAATGAATTTGGGGATTGTCCATGTGTGTACTACTGTGATTAATTTTTTGTTGTTAGGGATGAAACTTGATTGCTTATGTTAAAATGAATATTTTGCATATACTCCATTAGAGAACTGTCTGGGAACATTTTTAAAATGCTTGCTATTTTCGTATTGGTAAGACATATATAGATATATATTTTAAGAATCAGATTTGTTTTCCAAGTACTTCTCTCAAAAACGTTTAGATCCTTTAAGAAATCTGTTTGAACAAACCTATGTCCAAACAAGTGTAGTAAAGCTAAATCCTTGCCCTGCATCTTTCCTTTAGTCTATAAACGAAGACATGAATTCAACAACTCACAATTGCTAAAAGTAAATATTGCTAAAAAAAACTATATTTCAGCGGATAATGTCTCGTTACATTTAACATTCAGTGCAATTTAATGAATGGAATTATCACTGTGACCTTATTTAATGTAAGTCACAGAGGGTGACTGCTGACACGACTACTAAATGTGACTGGGAATTATTTGCCGTGCAATTACCCTCGCCACAGTGAGAGATATAAAATATGATTGACAGAGTCGCAATCCAATGAAATGCGAAGAATGCGATTTGTGAACCGGAATCTCCAGAAAGATTGTCCAGTAGAAACCCTCGACACACCAAAAAGGTTTGTCTACAGTCATCTGATGACGAATAGGATTGAGAGTTTAACGCCTGCAGTGATACATGACTCCGCCCCTGGCTTCCATTTCTGAACTGAGGAGACGCCGCCGCTCGCGCTTAGTCCTCGCCTTTTTTATATACACATTTAAGTAAATAAACTAGGCTCTCTTTTCGTAAATTAGGACCACTGCCTAAAGGTCGCGAGTGAAACTGCATTTTTTTTGTTGCGTATAACGCTTTTGGAGTTTTGGCTTGAGCTGAAGCTAGCATTTTATTCCCCATTTTAACTTTACTAAGCGGCGTTTTCCGCCGTTTTTTTCTTTTCGCCGCCCCGCTCACTCTACCCCCTTGTGTGTGAGTAGGGGCCTGCAACGTTGCTTTAGCCACGAGGTCGTCGGAACAGTTGGAACAGGGCGATGGCGGAGTTCGGTAACGGACTAGCGGATGAATCTCTACTAGATTCAGACCCCGGACATCCCGAGCTGGAAGACCCGGGTGTCGGTGACGAAGAGCCGGGGTTAGAGGAGGGAGAGGCCGCAATTGAAGACCCGGTAAGTGAAGGTTATTGTTCCAGCAGTGTGAGCCAGCTTGGTTACCGGGACACGTTACGAACATATCGGTTTAGGAAGTTAAAGCACGAATCCAAATGATAGTTCCTTTTTCTCCTCTGCAAATCTTGGGTCACATGCCGTGTGCATTTCTACTATCACCAGGTCGGTGCTAACCGCCATTGTGGTTCACGCAGTGCAGTAGACTTGGGTGGTGACATGCGTGGTGTCCGCAGCCATCTTGGCGCAACAGCGACGCCAGTTTCTCTGCGCCAGAGTGCAGCTCGAGCAGTTGGGGGGGTGGGGGGCGAATTGTCGTCGCCAAAAAAAAGGAAAAAATGCTAGACGGAGATGCAGGAGACTGTTAGGGGCGACCGTTGGACAGGCCGCCACCATTAGCCACCGCCGTGCAAGTGTATCTCCTTACGAAGGCGACCTGGTAACGGTAATGCAACATTTTATTCTCTCGGTTTTTTATCGTGACGCCGGCCGCTGCTGCTCTTCTAGCGCCGGTTTGTGCACACGCGAATGACCTATCGGCAGTGAAGCTAACGCTAGCATCTAGTGCTGCACCTCAAATGAACAGCGAACATGCATGCCAACCGTCACAATTTTGTCTTAGGATTGCGCCATTTAAACCCCAGCCTGTTAGGAATGGCGTCAGTTAGCAGCTACATGGTTGTGCATCACCACAGGATCACCTGTATTTGAATGGCCGATTGACTAGCTAGCAGATTGGAATAAAGTCATGGGTGGATGTGGCTGAAAATGCACCTGAGCCGCCCTTTCTCTCAAATTTGGTGACTATGGGGGCTACCGCGCATCAGGGGGCCATCCATTTGTTGTATCCTAAGGCAGAGACCTGGCGGTGATGGGCTCACTGGACATGCCTCGCCAGATGCACAGGAGTGCAGAATGTCCACATGGCACGTTCAGGTGGGGTCCGTGCATGCAAGGCGGCATGCAGCGCAGAGGAAAGGGGCTGCGGTATTTTGAGGGGCTGGGTTGCATCTTTCACTGTTTTTGCTCGCCCAAGGAAGGGGGGAAAAAAGGGGAGGGGATTGAAAGTGATTGCTTTGAATATGCGACAAAATAAGAGTAATTTCTGGAATGCTCATAGCGACGATTCTGCTGGAATTGTTGGCTTTTTTAAAAAGGATGCTAAAGGTTGTTGAAGAGGGATGTCTTGGGTGGGACTGCACGCAGCCTTTGAAGGAGGGCACGCGCCGCATGTCACCGTGTCCCCTTTTAATCTGGGGTGTCTTGGAAATCTGAATATGACACTATGGTTCTGTGTTACTGCGCCCAGTGGCACAAAGAGCTTTTGAGACCACAAATCCATCAGCATAGGCAGCATGGAGAGTGACTCCCACTGTGCTGCAGTGCACCACTGTCAGACAGGAGGGTCTGCTCCCACGTGAGGCCACCCGAAATTTGAATTTCCTCTGGGGTCAGCATGTGCTTTATGGATTGCAATCTTTCAATTTGACTTCAATTCTCATTGTTGCAACTACAGGGGAGGTTTGTGTGCACAGCCGTTTCCGATATTTCGTTATATTTGGCAAAAAAATTAAAGTAATGTTAGTTATGTATGTGCCGTTTAAAGTCATTAGTTGCATTACATTCATATCACTGCCCAAGGTGTATATATGAGTCTTATAAATGAGAAGTATATTTTTACTTGGTTGGTTTTGTGCTTTTAGTAAAGGTTGTGATTAACATTGATAGGATAATCAATGATGCACAGGACAACTGATTATGCCCTTTTCTAAAGGTCAAATTTGGGGAGGAATGTGGGTAATACTTGGGTAATGTAACTCGGGGGTTCTTTGGGACTGCTGCTAAGGTGCAGGAGTGGGGGGCAGACCTTTTGGATGTAATTTGGGTATTCTTCACCTTTTCAGACTGAGCTTTGATGTCTCCTTCCTCACAGATATGACCAAATAAATGTTGACTTCAGGATAATTGTTAGACGGGGGTTCAATTAATTGATGTCAATCGTAATAGCTTTAGGGATGCTAAAGTGTGTATGTTGCAGCCTATTTTTACTGATCTGTCCACATGATGGACTGACAGCTTTAATGGAAACTTTCTGTTTTGCAGGAGCTGGAGGCAATCAAAGCCCGGGTGAGAGAGATGGAGGAAGAGGCAGAGAAGCTAAAGGAGCTACAGAACGAGGTGGAGAAACAGATGAATCTCAGCCCCCCGCCAGGTTTGTTGTTTTTTAAGGGTGTTTTTAGTTCAACCTGTTTGTTCTAACCAGTATACACATTTACTAGAGACTGAACATAACAGTCATGAAGCAGCGGGTTTGTGCTCACTTCACTTCCACAACTGAATCCACCTCCAAAGTAAATATTTCAGTTTGCTTTAAGAACATTTCACACATTTATTAGAAATGACACATTGCGTTTTGAATGGATGAATTTGTGGTTGAGTTGCATACAAACACACATGCCTTTGAAATGTATGTGTGAGGAGCTTACAAAGAGTCGCAAATCAGTCCATGGAGTGCAAAAAGGAATAAGCCATATGGCATTTCACCTATTAGGAGATTTGTTTCAGATTTCAAACTTACAGCAACCCCGCCTGCTGGCAAAAGATTGATTATTTTAAGGGCCTAAACCTTACAGGTGATCTGTAGGAAGCAATGACACAAACTTAAGATGAATAGGCTGAGCCCCTGTTGCAGAGTAACAGCACAAAAGTGAAATTATGGATAAGGGGTTTTCTAGGATTCGAAGAGTCTGGGTGCAGGGCATTGACATTTTTAACTAAAACGAATCAAAGGCCATGATGTCAGGTACATTTTTACATCTTACCAAAAGGCCACGTTTTTCCCCCTCTTTTTTTCAATATATATCCTGCAACTTGGTGGGCATAAAGGAATATTTCTCGGTTCCAAGTCTACAAAGACTGGAATAACAAATGAGTCTTAGAATGTCGTTCAAGGTGAGATTTTATTTTGTAAAATGTTTTAATGTAATTTATTTAATGCTGCTTTTTAAGTAAAGTAGTACAGACAAAGTCGACTTTGATTAAGGGGGATCACAATAGTTTTTCAAAGCTTGTTATATTCACCCATAAATGTATTTTTGTTAACTTTTGCTGAAACGTTTTTTTCATTCCGTTTCTCAGTCTGGTGCCAATTATGTGTGCGTGTTTTCAGCTGCATCGTGTGTTAGAGATTAAATGTGAAAGTCTTTACCCCCAAACCTTCAACCCCAAAACAAAATGAAATTTTACAAAAACACTTTGGGTTTTTTTTAAACGCCGCCCACTGATCTGTGCTTCGTCAAATTTAATGTTCTCAAACGCATGGTGCTCCATAGTAGTTTGGTGTTAAAAAAGGTTTCGATATGTGCTTTTAACAGAATTATATTGCTGCAAGTTTTTATATTGACATTTGTCCCTCCTGTCTCCTGTGCAGTTGGCCCCGTTATCATGTCCATTGAGGAGAAGATGGAAGCAGATGGCAGGTCTATTTATGTCGGCAATGTGAGTAACAGTCCTGCTTCTTGTGCGTCCTAATTTGGCCTCATAGTCGTTGAATCCTGGCCGTTCTGTGTGATGTAGCGATGTGAAGGAGAGATGGAGGAGAAAATAAGTTTTTGTATTTTAGTCTGTTCATCCCACTTGAGTGGGATGATAGTGTAATGTTTGTGCCTGTAAACTGTTCTACAACAGATGTGTATTGATAGTTAAAAGTTTTTCTCTGTCAGGAAACTGTAAAAGTTATATTCTTAATTCAGTAACCATGCTTTGCTCTGTTGGCTTTAAAATGCTCTCAAATGCAATGATAAACAAGTCTCTTCATAATATGTATTTCTGGTTATTTTCAATAGATTTGTCCATGAGAATTTTTTTCTATTTCCTTCTTCTTTGTGTCAGTCTGTAGTTGTTCGTTAGTATTTAAAAAAAACATTTTTAAAATTCTTTTACAACATTAAAATGTACCTTGTCTCATCAGGTGGACTATGGTGCCACGGCAGAAGAGCTGGAGGCGCACTTTCATGGCTGCGGCTCAGTAAACAGAGTTACCATCCTGTGTGACAAATATACGGGGCATCCCAAGGGGTAATAACCAGCTTTACGTTGTTCTCATCCTGTGACAATGCGCAAGATATATATATATAACAGCCAGCCCTTGGTGGTTCCAGTTATTAACTGGTGTTCCATCTGTAGCTCACCCTGGGCAAACACTTTACCAGTTAAGGTACTTTAAGATTGCCACAATTTAGAAACAGCTGGAAATCCCCTACTTGAATCCCCTTGCAAAGGCTTATGTCACAACTCGATCACTCCGGTCATCAATGGATTGTCGTCTAGCAGTGCCTTCACCACGCTTAAGACAATCCAGACTGTTTGCATGTGTCGTTCCAAGATGGTGGAACGACCTACCAAGCTCCACAAGAACAGCAGAGTCCCTGTCTGTTTTCAAGAAACTCTTGAAGACCCACCTCTTCAAAGAGCATCTCCTATCCTAACCCTAACCCGTACCTCTACCCCCCCACAGCTCCTTCTGTAGCCCCTCTACCTCTATCTCTATCTCACCATTGACTCTGATCAGTGTTTCTGTTCTATATAGTTTATTGTCATTGTGATGAGAAATGTAATATTGTGTCTACTCTGTAAGTCGCTTTGGATAAAAGCGTCTGCCAAATGCATAAACATAAACATAAACATAAAAGAAACTAAGATTTAAACCTCAGGAATGGTTTGAGTTTAGATCAAACCTTGTTTGGAGGATAAAATAGCTCTCTTATTTTCTCTCATTACTTCTGAAAGATTGGTTCTGCTGTTTGTGTTTGATGGTGTTTTTTTTTTTTTTCTCCAGGTTTGCCTATATTGAATTTGCAGATAAAGAGTCTGTCAGGACAGCCATGGCTTTGGATGAGTCCCTTTTCAGGGGAAGACAGATAAAGGTAAGAGATGACCAGATTGTTTAAAATGGGGTTCCCTCCTAGACACGGACTGCAGATGGTTGTTGTTTATGTTGTTCTTGCTCAGTAAGGAAAGAGCAGCCCCTCTTTGGGGTGATGAATGTGAAACAGAATCCAGATTTCCACGTGAACAGAAAAGACTTAGAACCCTTATGGACTACAGAAATGAGCAGAAAATAAGTGATGCGATTTAGGTTCGCGGCAAGGTCAAAAAGCTCTGTTCAATCCAGCTGAAAACGTTTGTCGTTCTTACTTATTTATTTATTGTTTAACCTCCTTGCGCCACGTCTTTAGGTTGGAGCCAAGAGAACAAACAGACCCGGAATCAGCACCACAGACCGCGGCTTTCCACGTGCCCGGTTCCGGTCACGGGGAGGCAGCTTCTCCTCGCGCGCACGCTACTACAGTGGCTACACGCCACCCAGAGGCAGAGGACGGGCCTTCAGGTGAGCTGTCGTCAAGGCACACCACGTCTGACAAAGGAGAGAGAAAACACGGGGCCCGGCTAAAGACTGGACAAAGGGGGAGGGTGAGAGAATGATAAGGGATAACCAAGGAATCACTCATGTCAAGAAAAAATGGATTGAAAAAAGAGGGATGGGAATCATAAGATGGGATTCCAGTTGTCAGGAAAAGGCTGGATTTTAAAGGGGAATGGACATGACAGAAAGAGCTATTTGCACTCTATAATTGGATTGTAGTGACAAGAGCGAAAGCAGAGGGGCCAGAGAATCAAACCAGACAGTTTGGATTAACTGGGGATGTCCAAAAGTCTTCCTTAAAAATGTTTGGGAGTGTATAATGTTCCAACTTGTTGCAAACAACACGAGACTTGTGACAATAAATGTGATATGAACTCAGACATCAGTTGTTGTTCTGCGTTGTGGTTAGCTCAATCACTGGAACCCTCAGTTATGGCAAACGGAGCAGATGGGCCATCCCGCCTCTGACGGCCTCATTGCATGCTGCATCCCATTTTATCGGTTTGAAAGGAAGCTGACTGTTTACCAGCTGCTCGTTCACTCTGTGAGAGGTGGGGCTTTGTGTGCTCCAGCTTTGGGGACATGGCACCCGTTTTTTTTGGTAAAGCTGGTAGAGGTGGCTTGCCTTTTCTCTCCATTTTCACATCCACTGCTCCGCTTCAGCAGACGTGATGGTGGTGGTGTTTGGGCGATGCAGCCTGGGAATGTTGTGTCTTTTATATAGTGTTTCTTAAAGTTAACGTCATTTAAAAGTTTTATTTGTAAAGAATTCCCACCTGCTGTCCTTCATTCATAGAAGCTTTTGGCCTTAGTCACCCTGTTAAATTCTTCTGAGAAGCCTCCCGTTTAGTCTGTCCTTGAATTTGTTCAAACGAGTACAAGAAAGGGTTACATCTCTTTGCATTTTTGTGTGTGAGAAATGTCTGAACTTCAAGGTCAGACTCTAATCAGCCACCCCCACACATACCAAGAAACTCTAACCCTGCCAGTGTGCTCAGGGATTTGGCTGACGTCAGCAGGACGAGGCACATTAAGACTTTAACTCACCAGAGTATTCGTTTAACTTCCTAACTGATTGAAGGTGTGCGGCTGGGCAGCCGTGAGGGTTTTACTGTTATTTGAGCCGCCAGGTTTGGTTACATCTGACACCGAGACGTCTGAGCGACGGTAAAAGGCACATTTGGCGTGAAGCTATTTCTAATCTGAGAAATACTCCCCGATGGGCACGGGGTGTATCCTCCCATCCCTCGGCAGCAGCGTTTAATGCATTCGTGGGCACTCGTAGGGGAAAGCGCGCCCAGGCGTTTCACTTTTTAGAAAAGCAGATGCCACTAGTTCGTTTCAGACGGGGATGTCCACGTCAGAATCTCCTCACTGACCTGCTGGAGCTTGGGAAGTGGTCACAGCGTTGATGTGCACGCTTGTCCATTTGGATTTGTGTTCAAATTTCAGGGGTGTTTGTCGGTCCGGGGCCTGGGCAGCCAGAACCAAGGGCTTTTTTATTGTGCTGGCATTTAAAAAAAAAAAGTAGTGGTGTTCCATCAGTGATGTCACGGCTGTCGTCTTCCCAAGCTGGAGCAGAGAAAAGTTGATGTTTTGATGGAATATATATTCTTTTGATGGAATATACATTCGTTTTTCTTTTATTTGTTTTATGTTCCTTGTACTTGTGTTGTCTTTGCATGTACATGACCCTCTGCTTGTGCACAGTACACACATCCTCCCATTCAGTTCCAGCTTTTCAGCATTCACTCCCAGAAACGAGGGTTCATTACTGCAGCCTGACCTCAGCATCTCTCCATCCAGATGCTGGCCTTTGAGCGCCAGTGGAACCTTTTTTGTGTGTGTG